TGGTCCCTGTGTGACTTCTGATGAGGGCGCTCCATTCCACACGGGGAGGAGGGTGCACATCTGTGACCAGCACCCTGTCCCCCATCTCTTGGTGAGTCACAGGGTGAGTGCTAGCCCAGACCTCCAGGCTCCAGGCACCCCATTTTTCTGCAATACCTGAGTCATTCTTCCTGTTTTCTGGAGGAAAGTGAAGTGGAATCAAAGCCTCCCACAGGCCCTTTAAAAATGTCTCCGCACAGTTGCAGTTGTCACAGTAACATCTTCGCGCTGCCCAGGCCTCTGAGGTATTTCGGTGGCAACAGACCCTGAGTTACCATGAGAACCTGAGCTGCCGCTTGGTGGGTTTATCCTTTGTGTCTCGTGCTCAGACCGCCCACCTCCACCTCCAGGCCGGCCAGCGAGAAACCACCGCCGGCAGTTTCACTTTCAGGCCGGGATTTTATTTTGAGAACAGGTTTTTTTGTTTTGTTTTTCTTTTCAGGGGAAGCTCCCGCAGCCATGCTGGAGGCCATGGGGGGCTGAAAACCCAGGCCCTGAGCAGGCCAGGCAACTGCTGCAGCCCTGGGAGGCAGTTCCCAGGCTACCTGTGTTCTTGAAGGTTCATTGCTCTGATCACTTTTTTTGTTTGCTTGTTTGCTTTCTTTCTGAATCACGGCCAACGATGCTCAGGGGTTACTCCTGGCTCTGCACTCAGGGATTACTCCTGGCGGTGCTGGGGGACCACGTGGGATGCAGGGAATCGAACCGGGTCGGCCACGTGCAAAGCAAATGCCCTCCCCGCTGTGCTATCACTCCAGCCCCACTCTTAAGGGAGTAGATTAAAATGTGTATTGCTGGGGCCAATGGGAAGGGTGCTTGCCTTGCAAACAGCTGACTCAGTTTTGATCCCCAGCACTACATATACTTCCCCTGCCCTACCAGGAATGTGATTCTTGAACACAGAGCCAGGAGTTGAGTCCAGAGCACTGTTGGTGTGCCCCAAATTATCAAGCAAGCAAAGAAAAAAACTGTGGGCTGGAGTGATATGATAGCAAAATAAGTAGGGCACTTGCCTTGCATATGGCTGACCTGAGTTTGATCTCTGGCACCCCATGAGGTCCTCCAAACCCTCCAGGGGTGACCCCTGAGTGCAGAGCCAGTGTAAGTTCTGAGTACTGGGCTGAGCACCGCTGGGTGTGACCCCAAAATCAATAAAAAAGAGAAAAAGGGAGGGAAAGAAGGCAGGAAGGGGGGCTGGAGAGATAGCACAGCGGGTAGGGCGTTTGCCTTGCACGCAGCCGACCCGGATTTGATTCCCAGCATCCCATATGGTCCCCTGAGCACCGCCAGGAGTAACTCCTGAGTGCAGTGCCAGGAGTAACACCTGTGCATCGCCAGGTGTGACCCAAAAAGAAAAAAAAAGAAAAGAAAAAAAAAAGAAGGCAGGAAGGGGTGCTGAAGGGCCCAAAGAGAGCTCAGTGGGCTGGAGCACCAACTCTGGGTGCAGACTCTGGCACTGAATGGTTCCCCAGCACCACTGGGAGTGACCCCCAAGTACAGTGTAGTCAGGAGTAGCCCCAGAAACAAAACACCAATAGCGAAGGAGGGCTGAGGATCTCTCTCAGAGGTCGAGCTCTTACCTTGCATGCGTTAAGAACCTGCGTCTCCCAGCACTTCCGGGTGAGGCCAGCAGCTGGTCAGCAAGTTGTGTGCTGGGCAGAGCGAGGAGCAAAACTCAGGAAATGACTTAAAACTGCGTCAGGAGGAGGAGGATCCTGCTGGGGCTGGAGTCTACATTCCTCACTGATATTATCAGGGCCACACCTGGTGGTGCTTGGGAGGGAAAGGGGGTCTTGAAGCCCGGGGCTGAAACTCAGGACTTCACACGTGAGCGGCTCTGCCACTGGAGCCGTATCCCTGGGCCCGGAAAATACTTTTCTTGTGGTTTTCACTTTTATCACAATATGGTAGGGTGTTTGCCTTGCACGCAGCCAGCCCTGCCAAGCCGGGTTCGATTCTTCCGCCCCTCTCGGAGAGTCCGGCAAGCTACTGAGAGTATCTCGCCCGCACAGCAAAGCCTGGCAAGTTACCCGTGACGTATTCAATATGCCAAACACAGTAACAGCAAGTCTCAAAATGGAGACGTTACTGGGCCCGCTCGAGCAAATAGATGAACAACAGGAGGACAGTGTGTTTGTTTGTTCTTTTCATTATTGCCAATTCTGGTGCCAATTTATTTTGTTTGGGGGCTGTACCTGGCAGTGCTCAGGGGGTTACTCCTGGCTCTGCACTCAGGAATTACTCCTAGAGACTAAATGGAATGCTGAGGATTGAACCTGGGTAAGGTGCACGCAAGGCAAGCACCCTATCCGCTGTACTCTCTAGCCCCTCTGCCCATTAGAAAGAGAACTCGTTCCTATTGTGAGTATAGGAGAAGCCTCCATCGTAGTGTTCGGTACTCTAGTCTCAGCCATCCACACAGAGTCCTGGAACCCAATGCCTGCAGTTTGACCCTGGGGGCCACACCCAGCAGTGCTCAAGGGCGACTCCCTCAGGGTCATTTTTGGAGGCAATCAGGGGGAAAGTGTGGTGTTGGGGATCAACGTCTGACCTCCCCCAGCCAAAGCATGCGCATTAGACCTTTGCACCAACTCCCCAGCCCCTGTAACTTCTTTCTCTATGATAGCAATGCAATCCCGAGTCCTCAGATGCAGTTCCCCAAACAAACTTCATGAACCTTTGAAATCGTTAAAGGCAATCTGCAGCAACATCTGTAGTGATTGAATCTGCAGCAACATCTGTAGTGATTCGGGGACCCAGGTCACTCCTGGGAATGCCCTGAAGGATCAGTGTCAGGCTCAGAAGTGTGGAGACCTGTGCAGGGGTGGAGCAGAAGGGCAGCCAGGAAGAGGAAAGGATGGAGAACACTGGACTCAGAGACAGTGCTCACATGGAAACATACTTGTCCGCACACACCTCGTGCCTGGGGCTTTTAGGTCTCTGGGATCCAGTAGACAGAGCTGCAGTTGTTTCACGTGTTTGGGGTCATACCCACCAGTGCTCAGGACTTACCCTGGCAGGGTTCGGATGTACCCTACATGTTACCAAAACCTGAGTCGCTACCTTCAAGGAAAGTGCCTCAATCCCTATATTATTGCTTTTTTCTTTTTCTTTTTGTTTTGGGACCCACACTGGTAAATGCTTAGGGCTTATTCCTGACTCTGACCTTGAGGGTTACTCCTGACAGTGCTCAGGGGACTGTATGGAATGCAGGGGGCCGAACCTTGGTCTGCTGCGTGCAAGGCAAATGCCCTACCCGCTGTACTATCTTTCCAGCCCCCATTGTCTCCTTTTTATCTGAGTGTCTCCATACAGTGGAGCAAATTTCTAGCACTAATTCCCTAACTCTAGCCAGCCTCCTTGAAAAGAAAAGCCCCTGGGTTGGAGCGATGGTCCAGGGGATAAATCGCTTTCCTTGTTCCAGGCCCTGCACTGCCAATGGGCCCCTGAGCACTTGCCCAGGCATGATCAGAGCCAGGAGTGGTCCCTTAAGCCTGCAGGGGGCAGGACTATCATACAACAGGTAGGACACGTGTTTTGCATGCAGAGGACCTAGGTTTGATCCCCAGAATCACATATGGTTGCCTGAACCCCTCCTGGAGTGATGATCCCTTAGCACAGAGCCTGAAGTAAGTCCTGAGCACTGCCAAGAATGATCCCCCACAAAGGAAAATTTAAAAAAGAAAAAAAGGCAAGCAAGTTCCCAGGGGCTGGTCGATACTTCAGCATTTGAGGCAAAGGCACACACCTAGCACGCATCCAGCCTGTGTTTGATTCCAGGTACCACTTGATCCCGAGCATAACCAGGTGCAACCCTGGAGGTCCCCAGAGCACTGCCAGGTGTGGGCCTGTATCCCCAGTCCTGCAGGGCCTGAGTAGTTCTGCATCTTCTGGTTTCTGCACTGAACCACAGGCCAGCTGGCGGAGCATCACTGGTGGTGACTCAGTGGCCTCTGCTCAAACAAAGAAATGCCTGCTGAGAGCAGGAATGGGGTTCGGGAGACACTTGATCTTGACACTCTTACACAGTTCTCTCTTACACAGCAGCATGCCCTGTGTAAGACCAGTGGGCCCACCTGGCAAACCCTTAACCCGCTCTCCATCAGCAAAAAAATAAATAAATAAAATAAAATAAAAAGAGAGGGGCTGGAGTGATAGCACAGCGGGTAGGGCGTTTGCCTTGCACGCGGCCCACCCGGGTTCGATTCCCAGCATCCCATATGGTCCCCCGAACACCGCCAGGGGTAATTCCTGAGTGCATGAGCCAGGAGTAATCCCTGTGCATTGCCGGGTGTGACCCAAAAAGAAAAATAAATAAATAAAAATAGAAAGGCTGTAGACAGTGGTTGGGAGAAAAAAAATAGAAAAGTGAAAGACAGACTGCCTCGTACGCCTCTTCCTGCACCGCACTAGTGGTCAGGACCACGGATCGAAGCCCACTCCCACCCACGGCTAGTTCTCCTCTGGCACCAAACACGACTCCGGCTGCCCAGCAGGAATTGCCTGAAAACAAAAACATTTATTTCTTTTTTTCTGAAAGAGATGGGGCAAGCAAACGGTGCTGGAGCGGGTAGGACCACAAGCAAACTCCCCCGGGGTTTGCCGAGAAGTGGTCCCCTCAGAAGACACTCCTGCAAACTCCGACTGCCCCGGGGAGCAAGGCCGTCTCGGCTGCCCTGGAATCGGCATCGTTCCGACAGGCCCCGTCAGCGGCATCACCCACTGGCCTGGCCCGTGGTGTCTGAATACCCAGGCGGCTGGCCCCGCGCGCGTCCGGCCACAGAGGCCCAGTGCGCGCATGCGCTGTCCTTGCCGGGTCCCACGCAGCCAGCTGCTCGGGTGGTCCAGGGTCAAGGGTCCTTGACTCGCAACCGTCATATCGTCATATCGTGCCTCCCCAATTGGGCGTCCCCCACCCCTACCCCACCGCCCACCCCGAGTTCTGCTCTGGGTCGGGAGAGAGACCCGGCTCGGCTCGGGATGCTGCGGCTTTAGGCCTTTTTCCCTTTCTTGGTCTTGGGGGCCCCCGGCCAGCGGAAGCCCCGCAGGAACAGGCAGTGCGCGGCGTTGTGGGCGATGTAGTGCAGGTTCAGCATGGCCGCGGGGCTGAGGATGTCCACTTCGGCCTTCTTCTGCTTCTTTGCGCGACCCTTGCGTTTGGCTCGCTTCCCTTTCCCGGGCTTGCAGAGATAAGAACACAGAAAGGGGGGGGGGGCGGGCGGGAGGGAGAGGGAATGGGGGGAGGGGGCGGCAAAAAGTTAGTTTCCGGAGCTTTGATCTAAAGTTCTCTTGCAACATATCCATCACATCTCCGCAACCCAATCCTGAACATACATGGCAACCGTTGGTGAGCAGTTTAGGATGCCGCAACGTTTCCTATTCAATGTATGGGAGAGGAGCTGGAGCAACAGTACAGTGGGTGGGGGCGTTTGCCTTGCATTCGGTCCACCCCGGTTCATCCCAGGCATCCCCTGTGGTCCCCTGAGCACTGCCAGGAGTAAACCCTTAGCATCGCCAGGTGTGGCCTCAAGACCTAAATAAATAAATGCATTAAAAAAATTAATTTAAGGGGGGAAAAATTCCTGGAAGGAGGGAAATAAAAATCAAAACCACCACAGAAACTCGCATGGAGTGGGCAGTCAGATGCAATTTACTTGAACATACTCCCATTACTTCTCAGACTAAGGAAACACAATGGAAAGCGAGTGTGGGGGCCTTGTTTGCATTCAGATGTGAACAAACGACTTTGGAGGAGGAGGGGATGTAGGGGAAATTGGGCAATAACAAGGAATTATTTTATTGGGGTCTGACAATGATATTGAGGTCAGGAAAATTACCAAACGTTCTAGAAATGCACACTAACACGTTGACAGGAATAAAATCAGTCCTCCTGAGTCCTGCATTGAAATGATACAGTGTCCTGCCACCCCGATCCACCTTCCTCCTTGTTCCACCAAAGGAGGATGAAGCCCGTGTGACAAAAAATTGATAACATCCAAATCTGAGGAATGAATATATAGGAATTCATTTTACAATTCTATTTTTGTGCAGATTTGGGAGTATTCACAAATTAAAGGAAGACCAGGGCATGAGTCACAATACACCTTTTACACATTTTGGCATTTGTTAAACAGTAGTGCTATGTGCTATCTACCTCGTTAAGAGGTCATGAGGGCTGAGGCCAGACGCGAAGGCATTTAGCACAGGGTCTGACACAAAGGACCGGCCACCACCATGCTGAGACCACTCTCTGCATACCTGAAGGTACCGGCAGAGGGACAAAGCCACGTGGGTTCCGGGGCCGAGATCTCCAAGCCTACTCGGATTGGAGTCGAGCATCCTCCACCCAGATCCTCCAAATCCCAGTAGGCGGGGGTCACACCCACCACCTGGCCCCCTGGCGCCGTGTAATCCCATCAACGGCCAAGACTCAGAGACTATAAAAACCAGCTCCCGGAACCGCGCAGCCGCATTTGCAGCCGCGCGACATCTTATTATGACATCTCATTCCTACTTTGACAAACTGGCAGACTACCGAATGTAGCCTGCCCACATGGCAGAGTCTGGCAAACTCCCCGTGGAGTACCCAATATGCCAAATACCAGTAACAACGATGGGTCTCATTCTCCTAAAGAGCCTTGAATATAACCTCAGGGTCAGGATGAAGGAGACGTTACTGGGGTCTGCTCGAGGCAATTGACGAATAACAGGATGATCTGTGATCTGTGATCTGACACAAAAGGCTTGTATTTTTTGGCTACACCTAAGTGGTACCTTGGGCTACTCCCTGCTCGGTGCTCAGGGGTCACTTTGGGAACCATGTGGTGCCAGAGATTGAACCCTGGGCCCTGAAGCATTTGATAAACGATTACTACCAGCATTGTAATCTTCTCTAAAGATTACAGAAACAACTTTTTATTTATTATTATTTTTTTTTAAATATTGAGTCACTGTGAATTACAGAGTTATTCATGATTGAATTTCAGGGCTGGAGCAATAGCACAGTGGGTAGGGTGCTTGCCTTGCATGCAGCCGACCCAGGTTCAATTCCTCTGTCCCTCTCGGAGAGCCAGAAACAAATTTTTAAACGTATTGAAGAAAACTGCCATCAAAAAAAAAATTTTTTTTTTATGGTCCTGGGCTGTGTGTGGGGTTTGTGGGTGCCAATCCAGCCCCACTCAGTGCTGGACATGGGGTGGGTCACTAGGCCAGGATTGAACAGGGAACTCTGCCTGAGCTCTCTCCCATCACAGTTGTCACTGCTAATCCTTAGCAATGCATTCCTGTCCTAAACTTCCCAGCACCTCCAAGGCTACTGCTTGGGTGGCCCCAGATCCAAAAAATCAAAGAAAGGCAAAGGGGTTCAGTGGTCTCACAGTGTCCCCCCCACACCCTTGCCAGGAGTGCCCCTCAAATAAGAAGAGGCACTCTCCTCACCTGGGAATGAACTCACTCTGAAACTCTGTTTAAACTGCACAAAGCTAAACTGACATCCCCAGTGCTCTCTGACCTACTTACCCACCCAGAAAAGACCAAAATGTATCCATTTAGAACTTATGGCTTCCAGGCAAAGGAAAAAAATATGTCAGTTATCAAGGATGCCTGCAAGGGTCAAATATTTGTTTAAAATAAATCATTGCATTTCATTTTAAAAACATCCCCAGTTCAACAACCAGAGACACTGGGCGGCTATGTCCAGAAACACCCCAAAATAAATGTTTTATTCAGGGAAGTGGAGTCCATTCCTATACACAAAACTCAGAAATGATAATGAGAAGAACCAGGCCACACAATGGCCTCCTGCTTTTTCTCAGGGAATAAAAATGAAAGTAATTACATGAAACATTCCTCCAGATAACTGCATTATGTGCCCATACAATATCTCTTTGGGGTGCGTTTTGGTGAACTATATACTGTCCTGTACCACTGTCCTCCTGTTGTTCAACGATTTGCTCAAGCAGGCACCTGTAATATCTCCATTGTGAGACTTGTTTCTGTTTTTGGCATATTGAATACGCCACGGGAGCTTGGCAGTCTGTGCCGTGAAGGCGGGATACTCTCGGTATCTTGCCGGGCTCTCCAAGAGGGACAGAGGAATCAAACCTGGGTCAGCCACATGCAAGGCAAACACCCTACCCGCTGTGCTATCGCTCCAGTCAGGTGAGCTATATACCAACATAAACGCAAAGATTGTAGGTCTGGCCTTTATGATTGTTTTTTTTTTTCTTTTTGGATCATACCTGGCAATGCACAGGGGTCACTCCTGGCTCTGCACTCAAAAATTACTCCTGGAAGTGCTTGGGGGACCATATGGGATGTTGGGAATCGAACCCGGGCTGGCTGCGTGCAAGGCAAACGCCCTACCCGCTGTGCTATTGCTCCAGCCCCCTGGCCTTTATGATTTTTTACTTTTTCACATCAATCAAATTTACCTAGAATAACTAGAACAAGATTTTGTATTTTGAGGTGGGGGAAACACACAAGTGGTATGTTAGGCCTAACCCGGCTGCGTGCGCTCAGGGGTCTCTCCTGGAGGCACTCAAGGAACCATGCTGGGCTCCTGCTTGGAGAATGAACCACTGAGTTCTCGCTGGCCACCAAAATGTCTTTGCATTTCTAGAGAACTACAATTCCCATGAAACTTTGACATTGTATTGAAAGTTTTAAACTTTTTGTAGGAACTGGCAAACTGTTTCTAACACTGGCACGGAAATTCAAAAGACAAGCTAGAAGTTTGACGTTTTTATTCTAAGTTCTCATCTTTTTTTTTGGTAGAGGATTCTGAAATTCATACGGAAATGCAAAGGACTTTGAAAAATAACAAAGCGGAGGAACTAATGCTGCCGACCCTGTTTCAAGAATGATTATAAAGCGACAGTGTCCAGATTGTGTGGTACTGGCATCAAGATAAAGAGATAAACGGAACAGAATAGAGAGTCCTAGAATAGACCCACATATATGAACAGCTAATTTTCAACAAAGGACCTCAGCAATTTAATGGAGCAAGGAAAGTTTTTCAGTGAGTGGAGCTGGAAGAACAGACATCATTTGTATGTAAGAACGCAATTAATAATTGTATTATCTATAAATATTATCTCAAAATGAGCATAAGTATAAAACCCCAGACTATAAAATTTCTAGAAGACAGAGTAGAGAACATTTAAGACTTTGGATTAGACAAAGATTCCTTGGGTAGGAGGCTAGGAGGGCTATAGCTTTTAGCAGAAGAGCATCTGATTTGCATATGTGATGTCCTGGGTTTGAGTACTGTCCCTGTATGGCCCTCTGAATACAGCTAGGAGCAATTATATAACATGAACCTGAAGCAGCCCTCTAATACCACTAAACAGTGATAGCAGTTAGAGATAGCACAGCGGGTAGGGCGTTTGCCTTGCATATGGCCGACCCGGGTTCAATTCCCAGCATCCCATATGGTCCCCTGAGCACCGCCAGGAGTAATTTCTGAGTTCAGAGCCAGGAGTAACCACTAAGCATCGCCGAGTGTGACCCAAAAAGAAAAAAAAAAGAAAAAATAGGAGATATAATGGGCGGAGTGATAGAAGAGCGGGTAGGGCACTTGCCTTGTACACGACCGACCTGGGTTTGAACTCCAGCATCCAATATGGTCCTAGAGCCCACCAGGAGTGAACTCTGAGTGCATAGCCATGAGTGACCCCTGAGCATTGTTGAGTGTGGCTTCAAAACAAACAAACAAATAAAACAACAAACAAGGAGAGTATATGTGGGATAAAAAAAGCAAAGTAGTGCGTGATGGTGGATGTGGTTTTGGAATGATGTATGTATGAAATGTATGATCAACAGTACTATAAACCCTGGTACTCCAATAAAAGAGTTAAAAATAAAAAACTCAAAAAAAAAAAAAGGAAGGGAGCTGGAGAGATAGCACTACGGGTAGGGCATTTGCCTTGCATATGGCTGACCCGGGTTCGATTCCCTACATCCCATATGGTCCCCTGAGCACTGCCAGAAGTAACTCCTGAGTGCAGAGCCAGGAGTAACCCCTGTGCATCGCCAGGTGTGATCCAAAAAGCAAAAAAAAAAAAAAAGGAGAGTATAGAAATCACACCCAACAGTGCTCACATCTACAGTGCTCAGGAAATCCAATGTGGTGCCAGGGATGGAAACAGGGTTGGCTGCGGGCCCAGTAGGAAATGAAATT